AGAGGATGGTTGTTATTTGGAGCAGGTTGTTATGGGGACCAGGTTGTATCGTATCTCTTGCCCTGCAGTAGAGGATGGTTGTTATGGGGAGCAGGTTGTATCTTAACTCTTGCCCTGCAGTAGAGGATGGTTGTTACGGGGAGCAGGTTGTTATGGGGACCAGGTTGTATCTTACCTCTAGCCCTGCAGTAGAGGATGGTTGTTATGTGGACCAGGTTGTTATGGGGAGCGGGTTGTTATGGGGACCAGGTTGTATCTTAACTCAAGCCCTGCAGTAGAGGATGGTTGTTATGGGGACCAGGTTGTAATGGGTACCAGGTTGTATCTTAGCTCTTGCCCTGCAGTTGAGGATGGTTGTTATGGGGACCAGGTTGTATCTTAGCTCTAGCCCTGTAGTAGAGGATGGTTGTTATGTGGACCAGGTTGTTATGGGGAGCAGGCTGTTATGGGGACCAGGTTGTATCTTAGATCTAGCCATGCAGCAGAGGATGGTTGTTATGGGGAGCAGGTTGTTATGGGGACCAGGTTGTATCTTAACTCTAGCCCTGCAGTAGAGGATGGTTGTTATGGGGAGTAGGTTGTTTTGGGGAGCAGGTTGTTATGGGGACCAGGTGTATCTTAGCTCTAGCCCTGCAGTTGAGGATGGTTGTTATGGGGACCAGGTTGTAATGGGTAACAGGTTGTATCTTAGCTCTTGCCCTGTAGTAGAGGATGGTTGTTATGGGGAGCAGGTTGTTATGGGGACCAGGTTGTATCTTACCTCTAGCCCTGCAGTAGAGGATGGTTGTTATTTGGAGCAGGTTGTTATGGGGAGCAGGTTGTTATGGGTACCAGGTTGTATCTTAGCTCTAGCCTTGCAGTAGAGGATGATTGTTATGGGGACCAGGTTGTTATGGGGACCTGGTAGTTATGGGGAGCAGGTTGTATCTTAGCTCCAGCCCTGCAGTAGAGGATGGTTGTCATGGGGAACATGTTGTATCTTAGCTCTAGCCCTGCAGTAGAGAATACAGAGGGCGTTATTATTCTACAGCTAGTACGAGACACTGTGACAAACTCTCCTTAAATATTTATCCAAGAAACTGTCAGCCAGCTGTTTTATAAATAAAGTTATCCAGATGCTCTCAGCCCACTGGTTTATAAATAAAGTTATCCAGGAAGTTGTCTGCCCTATGACAGGGTTATGAGGGACTGGGGTCACGGTTGCTAAAAAACGAACGGAAAAGAAGAAGGGAGGGAGGGAAGGGAGGGAGGGAGGGAGGGAGGGAGGGAGGAGGGAGGAGTGAGGGGGGAGAGAGGAGGGAGGGAGGGAGGGAGGGGGGTAGGGAGGAGGGAGGGAGGGAGGTAGAGGATCTTTTATTCATTTTTATTTATTTCTTTCTTTCTTCTTTCTCTCTTTCTTTCTTTCTTTCTTTCTTCTTTCTTTTTTCTTTCTTTCTTTCTTTCCTTCTTCTTTATTTCTCCTCTCTCGTCTTTCCCCCCTCTTTCTCTGTCTGTCTTTCTTGCCCTGTCTCTCATTAATTATTCTTTCTGTCTGTTGTTTTATTCTCTCTTTCACATCTACACCTTGCACCAGGTATATGAAGGACCAATAGGGTGCTGAGCGCTCTCTCTCTCTCCCCGTCTCTCTCTCTCTCTCTTTCCCCATTTATCTCTCTCTCCCCCGTCTCTCTCTCCCCCGTCTCTCTCTCTCTCTCTGTGTCCCTCTCTCTCTGCCCTGTCTCGCTCTCTCTCGCTATCATGCTCTCTCTCCATCTCTCGCTCCCCCCCTCCCTCCCTCTATTTCTCTCTCTTTCTCTCTCTCTCTGTAGATATCTGGAGTCTGGGAGTGATTTTGTTCATGTTGGTGTGTGGTCACCCGTCATTCCAGGAGGCCAATGACAGCGAGACCCTCACCATGATCATGGACTGCAAATACACAGTACCATCACACATCTCCTCAGCCTGCAGAGAGTGAGTCACACACACACACAAACGCACACACGTGCGTTCGACACACACCCTCTATTTGTACTCAGTAGGTGCTGCATATTTAATGTCTATAGAGGTGTGAAGAGCAAGAGAGGAGTGGAGAGCAGAGGGGAAGAGAGGAGAGCAGAGGGGAAGAGAGGAGAGAAGAGGGGAAGAGAGGAGAGACAGTGGAGAGAAGATGGGGAAGAAAAAGAGGCAGAGGATCTGAGGACGAGGGAGAGGGAGAGGAGAGGAGAGGAGACGGAGAGGCAGAGGGAGAGGATCTTTGCTTCTCTTGAGAGGAGAGGACCGAGGAGAGGATGAGGAGAGGACGAGGAGAGGAGAGGAGAGGAGAGGAAGGAGAGGAGAGGATCCGAGGGGAAGAGGAGGCGGAAGAGAGAGGATGGAGAAGCAGAGGGTGGGGGAAGAGAGTGGAAGAGCCCGGAAGACGAGCCAGAGCAAGAGAGGGACGAGAAGACGGAGAGAGAGGGGAAGAGAGGAGAGGAGAAGGAGCAGGAGAGGAGAGGAGAGGAAGAGGAGGAGGGAGTGAGGAGAGGAGAGGAGAGGGAGAGCAGGAGGAGAGGATGAGGAGAGGAGAGGAGAGGGAGGAGAGGAGAGGCGAGAGGAGACCAGAGGGGAAGAGAGGAAGAGGAGAGGGTAAGCGCGGGAGAGCAGAGGGGAAGAGAGGAGAGGATGAGGAGAGGAGAGGAGCGGAGAGGAGAGGAGAGGGAGAGGAGAGGAGAGGAGAGGAGAGGAGGAGGAGAGGGAGGAGAGGAGAGGAGAGGAGAGGATAGGAGAGGGAGGAGGAGAGGAGATGGGAAGAGAGGAGAGCAGATGGAAGGAGGAGAGCAGAGGAGAAGCAGAGGAGAGCAGAGGAGAGGGAGAGGAGAGGAGAGGAGCGGAGAGAGAGGAGAAAGAGAGGAGGGAAGAGGGGAAGAGAGGAGAGCAGAGGGAAAGAGAGGAGAGCACAGGGAGGGGAGAGAGGGAGAGGAGAGGAGAGGAGAGGAGAGGAGAGGCGAGGCAGGTCGGAGAGGAGAGGAGAGGAGAGGGAGGGAGAGGAGAGGCGAGGAGAGGAGGGAGAGAGGAGAGAGGAGAGGGAGAGGAGAGGGGAAGAGAGGAGGGGAGAGAAGAGGGGAGGAGAGAGAGGAGAGTAGAGGGGAGACGAGGAGAGATGAGAGGACGGAGGGGAAGAGAGGAGAGGAGAGGAGAGGAGAGGAAGAGAGAGGGGAGAGGCGAGGAGAGAGGAGAGGGAGAAGGAGAGAGAGGAGGGAGGAGAGGAGAGGAGAGGAGAGGAGAGGGAGAGAGGAGAGGAGAGAGAGCAGAGGAGAGCAAGAGGGGAAGAAGAGGAGAGCAGCGGAGAGGAGGAGGAGAGGCAGAGCAGAGGAAGGAGGGGAAGAGAGGAGACGGAGAGGAGAGGAGAGCCAGAGAGCAGTGAGGGGAAGGAGAGGAGAGCAGAGAGAATAACAAGGACACGTCCCACACGAGGCGGAAGAGAGTGAAGAAAGAACGAGCGGGAAGACGCGAGGCTGGGAAGAGAGGAGACAAGGAGATGAGAGGGAAAACAACCATCTCGTAGGTTCAAAAATACTGAGAAGTCGTCCCCTGGACGCAGAGGGCAGACCGAGCAGAAAGGATCGCGGACACTTTACGATATAGGAAACCGACGAGGATCGAAGAAAATGGATGCCGGGAACGAGAGTGGAGACCGGAGGCGGAGGGAAAAGATGCGGGCATTGCGAAGAACGAAGGAGAGGAGAAGAGAGGAGAGCATAGAGCCGAGGAAAGAGATGGAGAGAAGGGGTCGAAGACGAGGGAGAGCAGAGGGGAAGAGGAGAGCAGAGGAGAGGAGAGGAGAGGGAAAGAGAGGAGAGAGCAGAGCGAGAGGAGGGGAAGTAGGAGAGCAGAGGAGGAGACTGAGGGGAAGAGAGGACGAGATGGGTTGTGGGAGAGAGCAAGATAGGGAAAAAGGACGATCTTACTCTCCTCTCTGAAGTAGTAGGGCGGCAGGTTTAGCTTAGTGGGTAAGCAGACGTCTCAGCTCCCTCGGGAAAGAAAAAGGATTGCCCCCACCCCAAGCGAGAGCACGGACTCCAGCCTCTGCGACCTAGAGAGCGCGGGTGTATCCCCTCCCACCAATCAGATTAGCCCAAAAAAGGCGAAGGTGCAGTAAGGGGAAAAGTGTTCACACCGAAAACAAATCCTAGGAAACCCTGGGGCTGAAACTTGCGGCCCATCGGGAATGCAAAGAACGGAATCACTCAAGTTAAACTAATTGAGAAGGTGAAGTCAAATCTGGAGTATAGAGGAGCGTATGCATAAACTGAATAAAATGTTGGTTTGGTTGTTAATGTTAGTAGCCCAGCCCCTGTCGCAATGCTGTGTTAAGTTGAGTGTATCTCTGATGCTTCCATTAAAACGTCAGGCTAATAAATGTTTAACATTGTTCTGCTGTCTGCTGCTGATTGAGCAAATTCAGTCGGAAAGCGGAGGGGCTTGTACTGTGTTAAACATACAAGACAAGCTTCTGAATCAGGTAGTAAATATGAAAAATAACACACCATTCACCTTGGGAGACTAGGCATAAGACCGATGATACATAACACACCATCACCATGGAGACTAGGCTAGCCCCTATGATACAGAGGCATTACCATCAAAAGGGAGATCACTAGCTGATACGAAAAGTAAACAGAGAGAAAAAAAAAAAAGAAAAAACTCCAGGGAGCCGAATGAGGGGAGGAGAAATAGGATAAATTGAAAAAAAAAAAAAATGGAGAAGAGGAATAGCCAATAGTGACTAAATAGACTACTGACAATAAACCATGGCGACTAGGCCTAGCAACTATGATAAATAAACACCATCACCATGGAGACTAGGCTAGCACCTAGGCAGAAAGGAAAACACACAAAGAATAGAAGCGCGAGCAACCTCAGCCACGCAGAGAGAAAACCCCTGACCCCGCGTCCATAATAAAGACCCCTAGAAAAAGCTAACGGATCAGTAAAAGGAGCAACTAATCCAGCAAGTTGAGTGAGGGGCACAAAGCCCGGAAATGCAGAGGAAGAGACCCATCCCTGTCAACCCCCCAGAAGATAAGAAAACAGAATTGACCGACGATTCGGATCGGATCGAGCTAGGGTGAGGAGTACTGGCAGAAAAGCGTTTCGGAAAATATTCCACACACGCACCCCATCAGAGGCCGCCCTCCCAAGACACCGGAAACACCACGCCGAGCAGCGACAACAACGACGCGCATATAAAGCAACTCACACACGGATCTTAAAAAACGACGGTTCCACAACACTAACAAAACGCGAGGAGGATGAAAAAGGAGAAAGAAGAAGCGGCAGGGGAGAAACATAGAATCCTTCACACCGACAACGAACGACAAGAAAGAACAAAGCGTGACAAGGCAGAGCGATTCACTAGGCCCTTTAGAGTGGACTGCGGATGTCAGGAGTAGACATCACAGGACAAGCGTTCGGGCGTTTGATCGGTAAAACAACCGGAAATAGCGGGAGATGGAACCGCTGTGAAAGAATTAAAACAAAATCGAAAAAAAAAAGAAAAGAACAAAACTCACATACACACAAACACACCGAATGTACGAAGGCCTCTCTTTACCTTTTAATTTCTTCTGACACGGTACTGTCATTAGACAGTAATGATCATTAATAGTTATAGTGACTGTCCTGTCATTAGGCAGTAATGATCATTAATAGTTATAGTGACTGTCCTGTCATTAGGCAGTAATGATCATTAATAGTTATAGTGACTGTCCTGTCATTAGGCAGTAATGATCATTAATAGTTATAGTGACTGTCCTGTCATTAGGTGGTAATGATCATTAATAGCTATAGTGACTGTCCTTTCATTAGGTGGTAATGATCATTAATAGTATAGTGATGTCCTTCCATTAGGCGTTAATGATCATTAATAGTTATAGTGGACTGTCCTTTTCATTAGGTGGTAATGATCATTAATAGCTATAGTGACTGTCCTTTCATTAGGCGGTAATGATCATTAATAGTTATAGTGACTGTCCTTTCATTAGGCGGTAATGATCATTAATAGTTATAGTGACTGTCCTTTCATTAGGTGGTAATGATCATTAATAGCTATAGTGACTGTCCTTTCATTAGGCGGTAATGATCATTAATAGCTATAGTGACTGTCCTGTCATTAGGTGGTAATGATCATTAATAGTTATAGTGACTGTCCTGTCATTAGGCAGTAATGATCATTAATAGTTATAGTGACTGTCCTTTCATTAGGTGGTAATGATCATTAATAGCTATAGTGACTGTCCTTTCATTAGGCGGTAATGATCATTAATAGCTATAGTGACTGTCCTGTCATTAGGTGGTAATGATCATTAATAGTTATAGTGACTGTCCTTTCATTAGGTGGTAATGATCATTAATAGTTATAGTGACTGTCCTTTCATACCCTCTATCTCTGTCCTCTCGCAATACTATGCCAGCTGGTGCAACGCTAAATAGCTTCCCCACTGTCATCATCAGTTTATTTGTCATTAGCAGCCCTCTGAGCGCCTGCTCTGCAGCTGGTGTTGCGTTAAATTGATTCCCCTCCCCTGTCACCTCTGTTTGACTCACAGTAGTCATCGCTGTTGGGTTCTTATCTACTTGTCTGAGTGTGTGCGTGTCTTAGTGTGCATGTTTGCATGTGTTGAGGGTAGCTAGTACAATACAATACAACTTTATTAATCCCAGAGGTGCAATTCGTTCAGGGCTGACAGGGTGCTTCAAATAGGACAAACACACCCATACAGACAGTATAAAATATAAAATATAAACACTTAAGGCATTATTAAAAGTGCATGGTGCAATATAAGAAATGAAAAGTTCATGGTAGCCACAGTTCTTAATTAATTTCAGGACTAAACTATCTCTAGAATAGTCCCTAGATCTTCCCCTCTGCTCTCCTCCTTAATGGTCCTGTTAACCAGGCCGATGTCCTCGGGCACAAACGAGACCCTACGCCTATTGGTGGAGCACTTGAGACAGTGCAGGCGGCGTCCAATGGGGAGCAGTTTGAACTGTGGGTTGAGGGGACATGGGTGATGTCATAGGCCTTTCTGCATGCTGCCTCAAAAGAATATAGGCGGATTTCTGAGGCACGCCGGTGTGATCTTAGAGCAGGTGTTCACAATGGCTTGGGAGGCGGCGGTTCCTATTTCTTGACCAGAGAGGGATGTGAAAACCAGCATTTGAAAGAGAAACACAGAACGCTCTCGATGAAAGAACTGTAAAAGGTTTGCAATATTGATTTGTGGACACTGAATGAGTTCAGTTTCCTGAGGGGGATTATCTCTGTAGTACAGAAGGGTCTGATTTATGGAAGTAGAATGAGAGAGGGAAGATAGAGCGCGAGGATCGAGGCGGAGAGAGAGAGAGATAGAGAGATATAGAGTTATCTGCTCTATCTCTAGAGATCTGCTCTCTCTCTTATTATCTCTTCTCTACTCTCTTCTTCTTCTCTCTCTCTTCTCTTACTCTCTCCTCTCTCTCTCTCTCTCTCTCTCTCTCTCTCTCTCTCTCGGGACTTGGAGTCAGAGCAGTATAACCACATCACTGCTACATACTTCCTGCTGGCAGAGACAATATTGAGGGAGAGACAGGAGAGAGAGCAGAACTACCACACATGGTCCAGTCCCAGCCACAAGGCCCAGTTCAGGTGTGCGCACACACACAGCACTGAGCCCAAGGGAACGAGAGAGTAGGGGAGAGAGGGAGGTAGGTAGGGGAGGGAAGCTTTCACAGTAAATAAACAAGTAGGGGGAGGAGGGAGGGAGAGATGTTACTCAGTGCTTCCTATCCCAGTACCCCAGTGTGCTATGTGTTAGGATGATGATGATGATGATAGGATGATTATGATGATGATGATGATAGGATGATGATTGGATGATGATTGGATGATGATAGGATGATGTTAGGATGATGATAGGATGATGTTAGGATGTTGATTGGATGATGTTAGGATGATGATTGGATGATGATTGGATGATGTTAGGATGATGATTGGATGATGTTAGGATGATGATAGGATGATGTTAGGTCCGAGCTATGAGCTTAAATGGGACATTCTGTCTTTTATTATTCCACATTGAACAAACTAAACGAATAAAAAATGAATGAAACAAATCAGACAGAAAAGTTCTACCAACCTTTCACTGTGTGATGAAACCTCTCTGCTCTCTCTGCTTAACCCTCTCCAGGCAGTTGTGGCCCACCAGAGTGGACATGCACCAGGACATGGGAGGTTTTCTGGGGGGGTACCCCCATCTCCCACCCAGGGGGCCCCCAGTCCCCCGCCCGCAGTGCTGAGAGCCTGGTCCACCACGGACCCAGATCCAAAACAGCCCTACTGGAGCTCAACCAAAGACGGTTGGGCAATAACACACACTCTGACCCTCCAGGATGACAACACACACAGCACACACACCCTTCAGCACTCCCTCCTGTCGGTTCATCTAGAGAGCACCAGGACAGGTGCCTCCGGCCTCCAGTCAAGCCCCACTCCAATCCCCTCAGGCTGGGCTCCCTGGCCTCTCCCACCCCCTCTAAACCACGGAGCCCCAGCCTCTTCAGTCTGGATGAGGAGGAGGAAAAAGGTGGAGGCTTCTTCTCCCTTGGCTCTCCCTGCTCAGGTGGTGCTCCATCACAACTTCGCCTCATCTTCATCCTCCTCCAACTCCTCCTCTTCCTCTGTCACTAACAGACTGACATCTCGTAAGAGCGCACCTGTCCTCAACCAGATACAGGAGGAGGAGGAGGAGGAGGAGGAGGAGGAGGAGAAGAAGAAGAAGGAAGGAAAGATGGAAGGAAAAAGGAGGAGTGTGGGTTCAAGCCAGAACAATGTTTGATGTCGTCAGGCAGGTCATCCCCAGTAACGATAACCAAGGCAGTAATGGTTGCCATGGCGTCTCCCATCTTGGAGACAAGCGATGACAGCGACTATGAGAGCCAACGGCGCCCGCAGAGACCGGACAGGGACTCAACAGGACCAAGACAACGAAGCCCTAGCTCTGCCAGCGGTGGGGGAGACAGAGGGGGAGACAGGCCCTCTAAATGTGCCACTGGTGGAGATGAAGAGAGAGATAAAGGGGGAGACAGCAGAGGGAGAGGGGGAGAAAGCCCCTCTGCTGATGTCTCAGGGACAGGGGCAGGACCAGGGAGGCGTGGCTCGGCCAAAGCAGCCAGCGGATTGGTGGAGAGCCTGAAACTGATGAGCCTGCCCCTGAGCTCCCAGTTCCACAGCCTGACAGGTGGGGGAGGAGGGGTGAGGGGGGGAGGTTCGGACCACCAGGACCGGCCGATGTGGAGGATGTGTATGGGGGGGGGGTTCGGACCACCAGGACCGGCCGATGTGGAGGATGTGTATGGGGGGGGGTTCGGACCACCAGGACTGGCCAATGTGGAGGATGTGTATGGGGGGGGGGGGGGTCGACATGCAGCCCGGAAAAGGTTTCTCTCCAACAGCTCCCTTACTTTGATGTTGCGCAATGACAATCTTTAGTTTTGACATGTTTTTAGACAATCACGTTTCTGTTCTCTTAATGCTTTAACTGAAAATTGTTGGGGACAAACTGTCAGAATAAAATGAGAAGTTTATTTAAATGATGGTGTCATATTAACCATCAGTTGAAGTACAGTATGTTACAACTACAGTATGTGCTTCTATCTTCTCTTTATAGTGTCTGTCTTGTTTAGTCTTGGACACAACACACACACACAAACACACAAACACACATATACACAAACACACATATACACACACAAACACAAACACACACTCAACATTGTCTTAGCTCCCTGTTCGTGACTGTAAATACAGTGGGGAGAACAAGTATTTGATACACTGCCGATTTTGCAGGTTTTCCTACTTACAAAGCTTGTAGAGGTCTGTAATTTTTATCATATGTACACTTCAACTGTGAGAGACGGAATCTAAAACAGAAAATCCAGAAAATCACATTGTATGATTTTTAAGTAATTAATTTGCATTTTATTGCATGACATAAGTATTTGATCACCTACCAACCAGTAAGAATTCCGGCTCTCACAGACCTGTTAGTTTTTCTTTAAGAAGCCCTCCTGTTCTCCACTCATTACCTGTATTAACTGCACATGTTTGAACTCGTTACCTGTATAAAAGACACCTGTCCACACACTCAATCAAACAGACTCCAACCTCTCCACAATGGCCAAGACCAGAGAGCTGTGTAAGGAGATCAGGCTGGGATGGGCTACAGGACAATAGGCAAGCAGCTTGGTGAGAAGGCAACAACTGTTGGCGCAATTATTAGAAAATGGAAGAAGTTCAAGATGACGGTCAATCACCCTCGGTCTGGGGCTCCATGCAAGATCTCACCTCGTGGGGCATCAATGATCATGAGGAAGGTGAGGGATCAGTCCAGAACTACACAGCAGGACCTGGTCAATGACCTGAAGAGAGCTGGGACCACAGTCTCAAAGAAAACCATTAGTAACACACTACGCCGTCATGGATTAAAATCCTGCAGCGCACGTAAGGTCCCCCTGCTCAAGCCAGCGCATGTCCAGGCCCGTCTGAAGTTTGCCAATGACCATCTGGATGATCCAGAGGAGGAATGGGAGAAGGTCATGTGGTCTAATGAGACAAAAATAGAGCTTTTTGGTCTAAACTCCACTTGCCGTGTTTGGAGGAAGAAGAAGAATGAGTACAACCCCAAGAACACCATCCCAACCATGAAGCATGGAGGTGGAAACATCATTCTTTGGGGATGCTTTTCTGCAAAGGGGACAGGACGACTGCACCGTATTGAGGGGAGGATGGATGGGGCCATGTATCACGAGATCTTGGCCAACAACCTCCTTCCCTCAGTAAGAGCATTGAAGATGGGTCGTGGCTGGGTCTTCCAGCATGACAACGACCCGAAACACACAGCCAGGGCAACTAAGGAGTGGCTCCGTAAGAAGCATCTCAAGGTCCTGGAGTGGCCTAGCCATTCTCCAGACCTGAACCCAATACAAAATCTTTGGAGGGAGCTGAATTTCCGTATTGCCCAGCGACAGCCCCGAAACCTGAAGGATCTGGAGAAGGTCTGTATGGAGGAGTGGGCGAAAATCCCTGCTGCAGTGTGTGCAAACCTGGTCAAGACCTACAGGAAACGTATGATCTCTGTAATTGCAAACAAAGGTTTCTGTACCAAATATTAAGTTCTGCTTTTCTGATGTATCAAATACTTATGTCATGCAATAAAATGCAAATTAATTACTTAAAAATCATACAATGTGATTTTCTGGATTTTTGTTTTAGATTCCGTCTCTCACAGTTGAAGCGTACCTATGATAAAAATTACAGACCTCTACATGCTTTGTAAGTAGGAAAACTTGCAAAATCGTCAGTGTATCAAATACTTGTTCTCCCCACTGTATGTGTAAATTCAAATTAGCACTTTAGTAGCACTGCACTTGTATTGGTAGTGTTGAGTTCTAGTCAGACCCTGACCACTAGATCCAATAGAATTGAGTTCTAGTCAGACCCTGACCACTAGATCCAATAGTGTGTTCCAGGACAATAACACAGGGACATGAATACAGTGCATTCGGAAAGTATTCAGAACCCTTCACTTTTTCCACATTTTGTTAATTTACAGCCTTATTCTAAAATTGATTAAATACATTTTTTCCCCTCATCAATCTACACACAATACCCCATAATGACAAAGCAAAAACAGGTTTTTAGAAATTATTGCACATCTATAAAAAAAGAAAACAGATTGTACCTTTATATAAGTATTCAGACCCATTGCTATGAGACTCGAAATTGAGCTCAGGTGCATCCTGTTTTCATTGATCATCCTCGAGATGTTTCTACAACTTAATTGGAGTCACTCACCTGTCTATATAAGGTCCCACAGTTGACAGTGTATGTCAGAGAAAAAACCAAGCCATGAGGTCGAAGGAATTGTCTGTAGAGCGAGACAGGATTGTGTCGAGGCACAGGTCTGGGGAAGGGTACCAAAAAATGTCTGCAGCATTGAAGGTCCCCAAGAACACAGTGGCCTCCATCATTCTTAAATGGAAGAAGTTTGGAACCACCAAGACTCTTCCTAGAGCTGGCCACCCGGCCAAACTGAGCAATCAGGGGAGAAGGGCCTTGGTCAGGGAGGAGACCAAGAACCCGATGGTCACTCTGACATAGCTCTAGAGTTCCTCTGTGGAGATGGGAGAAACTTCCGGAAGGACAACCATCTTTGCAGCACTCAACCAATCAGGCCTTTATGGTAGAGTGGCCAGAAGGAAGCCACTCCTCAGTAAAAGGCACATGACAGCCCGCTGTCTCTTTGGCCTGAATGCCAAGCATCACGTCTGGAGGAAACCAGGCACCGCTCATCACCTGGCCAATACCATCCCTACGGTGAAGCATGGTGGTGGCAGCATCATGCTGTGGGGATGTTTTTCAGCGGCAGGGACTGGGAGACTAATCAGGATCGAGGGAAAGATGAACGGAGCAAAGTACAGAAAGATCCTTGATGAAAACCTGCTCAGGACCTCAGACTGGGGGTGAAGGTTCACCTTCCAACAGGACAATGACCCTAAGCACACAGCCAAGGCAACGCAGGAGTGGCTTCGGGACAAGTCTCTGAATGTCCTTGAGTGGCCCAGCCAGAGCCTGGACTTGAACCCGATCGAACATGTCTGGAGAGACCTGAAAAAGCTGTGTAGCGATGCTCCCCATCCAACCGGACAGAGCTTGAGAGGATCTGCAGAGAAGAACTGTAGAAACTCCCCAAATACAGGCGTGCCAAACATTTCTAAAAACCTGTTTTTGCTTTGTCATTATGGGGTATTGTGTGTAGATCGATGAGGGAAAAAATACAATTTAATCCATTTTAGAATAAGTAATGTAAGCTGTAATGTGGAAAAAGTGAAGGGGTCTGAATACTTTCCGAATCCACTGTGTCATGCCAAGGTTCTTTGCACTCTGAGAAGAGGACACAATGGAGTTGTCAACCATGATGGCGAGATCATAGAGCAGGCAGTCCTTCCCCGGGAGGAAGAGCAGCTCCGTCTTGCTGAGGTTCAGCTTGAGGTGGTGATCCGACATCCACACTGATATGTCTGCCAGACATGCAGAGATGCGATTCGCCACCTGGTTATCAGAAGGGGGAAAGGAGAAAATGAATTGTGTGTCGTCTGCGTAGCAATGATAGGAGAGACCATGTGAGGAAATGACAGCGCCAAGTGACTTGGTGTATAGAGAGAATAGGAGATGGCCTAGAACTGAGCCCTGGGGGACACCAGTGGTGAGAGCACGTGGTGCGGAGACAGATTCTCGCCACGCCACCTGGTAGGAGCGACCTGTCAGGTAGGACGCAATCCAAGAGTGAGCAGCGCCAGAGATGCCCAACTCGGAGAGGGTGGAGAGGAGGATCTGATGGTTCACAGTATCAAAGGCAGCGGATAGGTCTAGAAGGATAAGAGCAGAGGAGAGAGTGTTAGCTTTAGCAGTGCGGAGAGCCTCCGTGATACAGAGAAGAGCAGTCTCAGTTGAATGACCAGTCTTGAAACCTGACTGGTTTGGATCAAGAAGGTTATTCTGAGAGAGATAGCAGGAGAGTTGGCTAGAGACGGCACGCTCAAGAGTTTTGGAGAGAAAAGAAAGAAGGGATACTGGTCTGTAGTTGTTGACATCGGAGGGATCGATTGTAGGTTTTTTGAGGAGGGGTGCAACTCTTGCTCTCTTGAAGACAGAAGGGACATGGCCAGCGGTCAAGGATGAGTTGATGAGCGAGGTGAGGTAAGGGAGAAGGTCTCCGGAAATGGTCTGGAGAAGAGAGGAGGGGATTGGGTCAAGCGGGCAGGTTGTTGGGCGGCCGGCCGTCACAAGTCGCAAGATTTCATCTGGAGAGAGAGGGGAGAAAGAAGTCAAAGCATAGGGTAGGGCAGTGTGAGCAGGACCAGCGGTGTCATTTGACTTAATAAATGAGGATCGGATGTCGTCAACCTTCTTTTCAAAATGGTTGACGAAGTCATCCACAGTGAGGGAGGAGGGAGGGGAGGAGGAGGAGGAGGATTCAGCAGGGAGGAGAAGGTGGCAAAGAGCTTCCTAGGGTTAGAGGCAGAGGCTTGAAATTTAGAGTTGTAGAAAGGGGCTTTAGCAGCGGAAAAAGAGGAAGAGATTGTAGAGAGGAGGGAGTGAAAAGATGACAGGTCCGCAGGGAGTCTAGTGTCCTCCATTTCCGCTCGGCTGCCCGGAGCCCTGTTCTGTGAGCTCGCAATGAGTCGTCAAGCCAAGGAGCAGGAGGGGAGGACCGAGCCGGCCGGAAGGATAGGGGACATAGAGAGTCAAAAGATGCAGAAAGGGAGGAGAGGAGGGTTGAGGAGGCAGAATCAGGAGATCGGAGGGAGAAGGATTTAGCAGAGGGAAGAGATGATAGGATGGAAGAGGAGAGAGTAGCGGGAGAGAGAGAGCGAAGGTTGCGACGGCACATTACCATCTGAGTAGGGGCAGAGTGAGTAGTGTTGGAG